GAGGCTCTGCGGCCATAAAAATGGTTCACAAGCCAGGGTACATGTCCCCTCAGAATATCTCCTTGAGGCACTGTGGCCATAAAAATGGTTCACTAGCCAGGGTACATGTCCCCTCAAAATGTCTCCTTGAGGCTCTGTGGCCATTCAAATGGTTCACAAGCCAGGGTACATGTCCCCTCAAAATGTCTCCTTGAGACACTGCCCCTTTATACAATACTTTAGAAACTGCAACTGCTCTGTCTCTTTCCTACAGGAAAGGACATTGCTGAATCAGCAAACTGCCTGTCACAGTCAGTAAGTAGGAATCCTTGACTAAAACAGAGATAATATCTCCTTCCTTCTCTGAAAATCATTTACATAGTGGTGCACAACTCCAATGAAAATTTTCTACCAAACTGGGTAGTTTTAGGAAATGGCCGACAAATATTTGACTTCCTCCCTAAAATTGATCAAATTTGATTAACTGAGGGGTGAGCAACAAAGCTTGTCCTTCTGGGCAAGACCCCCCCCCACATTTCCTTGCCCATTAAATGGAGGTACTGCATACACTGAAGTCTAGGTCAGCTGTTGGGTGACCTTGACATGTGGTGTTGCATCACCATAGCTCCCTGCTTGAAACCCATTAACTTCAGCATAATTTTTTGTCCTATGATCTCAGGCAACAAATATACTAGTCAGTACAGTGACTGCCTGTGTATTCAAGTTGGTTTGGGGGGGCCTTTCACGGCCGGTCTAACATGAAACCAGGAAAAACCAGAATGACTCAATTGTACATGGACAGGATATTACACACCCTCAACAGCTAGGCAGGGGAAAGTCCCATATTATTCCTGCCTCACGTTACATGTACATGAGACCCCAGCGTGACCCTTTTCCTCAAGTTGCTCTCTCCAACTCAACAGGAAACATTTTTCTTCGAAATACGAGTAACTCTGGCTTGAAACTCATTTTTGTGGTGCAAGCTTTTGAATGGAAGCACTGGTCACTGAAATAAATTTCCCCGCTTTCAATTACAAAACGTACGTGCATCACAGAAAACCTATTACATGTATTTATGTCTTCAGGAGATTTGTAGCCTCTTGAAACAAAATCAGTTTCTGGGTTCATGCACTGTAATTCCTCTAGAGGCACACCTCTGGAAAACTCTTGCTTTATTCCTCCACGGTTTTACAAAGAGGTTTCTACTTTCTCCACAGTTTAAGAAATCAAATAAATGCTCTGTAGAGAAGTTAAAATCGTGCAAGCAGATAGAGTTCTTCACTATGACCCTGTTCCTTATCCTATGGCATTAACTTTTTCCTGAGAAAATGTAACTGAGTCTAGGGGTTACATAATAATGTTCGTTATCTGTGGGATCGTAACTGGGCTGACAAATCTTGATCAATGTCACTGAAATACAAATCTGTTTCAGTCTGGCCAGGGTATGTGCATGTGGTATGTTCTCCAGTTTGTCAAGTTTTCCATGGCTGTGTTTATGGTTTACTTCAAAGAGTAGGCCTCTGAGATCTTTCTTTAGGATAATACTCTATGCCTCATCCAGTGTTCTCCAAGTAGCCTGGAAACCCACCAAGTTTTGTATGTCTCACACCAATCACCATGTTCAAAAGGCAGCCACCTAGCATTGAAATCTGCTTGTTGCCGGGTTAAAAACTTTGGATGTCAGTACATGTACATGTGAACATGAGCATTGCCATGACCACTTCATCTATGCTATCTTGATGGACAAAGCTGTTTACATGTCTAGAACTAACATCAATATAACAAATACATGTGTACATGTGGAAATTAATGTCAGCAGGCACTGAACAGCACATTGACCCTTGCACACCCACACAAAGTACTGCACTCACGGCATGCACGTGTACAAGCATGTGAACGGCACACAGTATACCCTAGACTTGCTGATCAGTCTTTAGATTGTCATGTTTTGTTTGTTAACTACAGACTTAATCCATTCATTGGTGCAGCTCTAGTAAATTAATACAAGGGGCTAAGTTTGCATCGAAGCAAAGCAGCCAACGTATTTGTGCAAAAGTGGAAGAGTGAGTAATGTGCATGTCCATTGCAGTGACATTACACATGGGGAACCAAACCAAACCAATCATTGACTCGGTACCACGTCTATTTCCAACAGAGCACTGAGTGCGCACACAAAACATGCAGGTAAGCATGTGAACAGGCATGTGATGTTATGCATACAAGTAAAGTAATGTACAGTACATGTACAGTACAGTACAGTGTTGAATAACTGTGAGCTGAATCAGTTAGTGCAGATAGTGGTTCTCAGTGGAGTTAGTTTCTCATCATTGGTATTTTGATAGCTGTTAAAAGCAGCGCACACCTGCACATTCAGAGTTCAACCAATAATGCCTCCACAACAACAAAATGACTGGACTTTGGCTCATTTACTTTTATGAGATTAATGTGAAGATATCCTCCATCAGTCACAAACTGTAACCAACAGTCCATCTCCATACCACAAATCAAGAAAAAAAGCGAAAAGACTGCCATTTTACAATGACATTTGTCACAATTTTTCATTAGACACTACACAACGCTTTGACTCTATTTTACAGTAAACATCAGTTATAAACAACATGTGATGTGGATAACTACACTTTTCACAAAATTGTTTACAAACATCTAGTTGGTTAAGAGAAAACAAAGTTTTGAATTATACAAATAAAAGTTTAATTTTAATACATACAAATGCAGAAAATTGTCCAAAGGATACCCTTTAGCGATTTCTTTGATGGGTCCTTGACCAGAGACGAGCACGTGCCTGTCGTGAAACTGGGGAAACATCTTGAGGGGACTGTGGGACATGACGACCTGATCAGGGTGAATCTGGAACGGGGTCCACAAATACCTCACCATGATTCAAGAGGTCTTTCATTTCCAATGGGCTCCGTGCACACAGAGAGCCTCACCACTGACAAAGAGGCAAGCTGGGCATACGCAGTGCCATTGCCACTGTACAGAAGTGCCAATTCTTTGATTGCACAACTTACTCAAAACCTTCATGTAGTTGTGTGTACATGCACAACATGTACATGAACTGTGTGACGTAAATTCATTTACACAAATCCACACATGCACATAAAGGCAGTCTGGTAACTTTTGTATCTGCTTTGCTATTGTATGGCTCCCCCCATCTAGAAATTACAATACCCAATCTATTACTGTGCAGTGTAGGAGAAACTTTGGTTGATTTACTGGGATAATAAAACAGAAGATTAAATATACATTATAGACAACAAATCCCTAAAATTACAAGAAGCTATGTTATTTATATACAACAAATCCCTAAAAATTACAAGAAGTTTGTTATTTTATTACTGTCCTTTTCTTTTCCTATTACTCTCCTGCATTTTTCAAATAGCAGAGAAATTCTAAATTTCTAACACTACTGTAGAAGTGAATTGAACAATTTATGGATAATCTTAACTAATAAATCGGAGAGCTAAGTACGCCGTAAGGCAGGTGGTTCAATTAGGGCAAGCTTTGTTTGTCATACCTTGATTCCCAGCCATTCGGTGAGCTGTTTTGCCTTGTGCTGCCGTAGTTTGTTCCCAGCATTGGTCACAAACACCACTGGAACCCGCAGCTGGCCTTGCCCATCGGACAGCTTCTGGAATGCATCAATGGCCTGGTCCAGGACGCGCTTGCCACGGACAATGACGCCGTCAATGTCAAACAGGATGCCAAATGGCGGTGTTTGGGAGCAAAGCTATGAGAAAACACGCACCAGGATTTTGAAAATCAGAACCAAATCAGAGAAATATTCTTCATTCAACAAATATGATCCAGAGCTGCCTTGCACGCTGTGGTTAAAGTTTCTATGAACTACATGTAGTCCAGCAGGTGAGTCAAACATGGTCCTGACCAAAACAGCGGGGCACTGCTGTTACAACTTGTAAAGTGCTACAATTCAGTCACTAATTATACTTCTGTTCTCTGATAAGATTTAACTCATGAAAACTAATGTTTTGTTGACTTGTTACATGGAAGTCCAGCAAAAATTGAACAACCAAAATAAATGCGCAGCAAATTGCCAAAAGAAATAAATGTCTATCCATTGCATTTACAAATCTCACTTGTTCGCTTAAAAAGGAACAGTATTCACAGTCAGATAGTGCTTGAAATCAATGCTATTATCCACGCATAGATACAAGCATACGTTTTGATACCTGCTTTTTTCCCATTTTCCCAAATACACAATAAGAACTTGGTGAAGCAATCCAACAGTTAAAACATATACAGGTATACACAGTGGGTATTTCATGGTGGACTAACTTGCTCTAGCCTGATGCCCGCATGGCAACTAAACATGCACAGTGGGTGTTTGGGGGAATTGGACATGTTACCTCGACAAATCTTCATTTGGTTCAAACCTTATATTGTCAATGAAAATTCTTATTCCAGAGAGAGAAATGACACATTTGAACTATTTCCCTTTACAAATCCTCCCCCAGAGCATCAAATAATGAAGACAAAATTGCAATATCCTGCACTTTAACTTTGAATTCCATTTAAAACATTCACAAAAGGAAGAAATTTCAGTCTTGTTTAGGGTAGGGGGAAAAGTTGGATTTTGCCCACACAGTCTGGCCGGGATGGATTCAATCTGCAACAACATGCTTTTAAAGCTAACTCAATAACTACTAAGGCCACATGTTAACTTACTTTCAGCGGAAGGAATGGAACTAAATATTAGCCTAGTACCAGCTGTTTAAACAAAAGGTAAATATGTGATGCCCAGTTGCTTGCAAAATTCAGGTACATATAGGCCTACATGTACATGGATGTACACAATGAAAAAAATTTACTTAAAGTTGTCCTTCTCCTAATATGCCACTGTAATCCAGCAGGGCAGGGTAGGGGGATGGGTACATCCAACAAGAAATTGAATTCATGAAATATAAATTCCTATTCCGGCCAACTTTGCTCCAGTTTAAAGTACACTGAGCTAAAAAAAGGAAGGTTTGAACAATGTGAATCAAAAAAAAAAATTAACATGGCCTGGAAATTACTACTTCTTTCTTTAGTTTTCCATTAATTCAAAACAAAAACTAAACAAAAGAAGTTTTAACTTCTTTAAATGTAATCTCTATTCCCCCATATACAAAGCCATACTATTACAAACACAAAAATATACAACGTTGATGATTATTTCTCTTTTTCGTTTTGCGTCCAAAATCGAAAGAGAGGAATGCTACTAACGCTCCACTTATTAAACCAAAACAGCCGTGACTTCAGAAGGTTGAATTTTGTGCGGTACGGTTATTTAGTTCCCCAACATTACTGACTTAGTCTGTTACTAGAGTTGGAAAGTTAGAATTGTCCTGTGGTGGAGATGGGTAGAAAGTGCGTTGTATCATGGAGGAAATCCTTCCTCCACGGTCGTAATACTACACAGCAGCGGACCGACCGTACCGGCAAGCCGCGTCTACTGCCAACTGAAAAAACGGCAAACCACTCTTTGTCAACAAGGAGAAAACACACCATACAAACACACGAAAAATTTCAGTAATAGCAAAGAATTTAGCACTCACCTCGGGTCGTATACTGAAGAATCGCCTGGGATGATTGAACACACTTAAACTACTTTTAAAATGGGGAAAATTCCGAAGCAAAATCCTTGGGAGATTACGAGCGGCAGCCATGTTGAAGGGTGACGCAAGCGAGCACGTTCGCAATAAACTGCTACGCTGCTGCTTGGCCGGGGGAGCGCAGTCGATCACACACGTCGACGATCGCGTGAAAGAAAATCAATGAATACGTAAACGCCGGCTAGCCGGCAGAAATGTGGGCGTGACCAATGACATGGCACGATTTCTCTCACGTGACCAGACACTGCCTTTATCGACTGATGACGTATGATAAATTCCCCATCTTTTTACATAACAAAACCCCAGTTCTGTCAACAGTACCGCTTAAGGGGGACCTAGAAATAATTATCAACACGTGTTGTCAGCTGATTTCAGAATTCAGTTTGGCATTTGCAGTTGTTTGTAAGCTACAATCGAGGGCTCTGGAACTCATGAATATGAAAATTTTCAAACAACTGAATTTTTGGTTTACTTGGAAACACGGTACTGAGCAATGACGCTACAATAATTATCCTTGACCCATACCATTACATTGCAGCCTGAGCACCGGATGAAGTTGCAGTTTGATCATGTTGCAAATTGCTAAGTCACTGTCAAAATGATATTGTTTACTATTTAACGACTTTGACTTAAATTGACAAAATATTTACAAAATCTCATACCAAAACGTAATTTTCTCAGGTGTACTATTTTTACCATTGCGTATCCAGCGGCGTGGGGTGGGGAATTAACTTGCAAAAAAATCGCCGCTTGCACAGCTTTTTGGGGATTTAAGGATGAACATGGACCTAAGGTTTTGCAGTGATTTGATTTGAAAATCCTTTCCCCGGACCCTAGACCTCAGTTCGCCACTGGTCTGAATTAGCAGAGAGATAGGAATATAACTCCGAGCAGAAGGACTTTGTATTGATAAAATTATACTAGTATTCCAGAGCGAATGAAGCCAAAATAATGTACTTCGGATAAAATTCACGAACCGTTATTGATTCAAAGTTTTGAATTAAAGTACATTTCTGACAGTGGCCTCATTCTGGTTGCTTTGTGGGGTCACATGTCTTGGACTTTCACCGATGCCAACAGGGTTAAGTTTTCCCTGTTGGCAGGACAGACGTATCCCGATACATGTACTGCGGTTTGGGTACTAGCGCGGTGACATTCATTTATCCTTATCTTTTCATTTCTTAAATCAATTATTTTTTACTTTAACTTGTACTGCGCCGTTGATTATACCATTTTTATGGAAACGTTGCATTACAAATTTTCAATTATTACTATTAGTATATTTTGCTTCATCTGGCCCCAGATAGTAACTTTTGAATCCAGCCAATTGAATACGATATGAACTATTTCGAGTCCTGTAAAGATAGTATGCGTGGTTTGACGAACAGACGGACTTTGGTCACATGGACACCACTGTTAACTCTCAGTGTACATTCCAACACAGCTTACTACAGTTGCAGATTCTTTAAAAAAATCGCTGAACCTCCCACTGTGTATTAATAAGGCAACTCATTCCGCGGTAGAACGGGTCCAGGTTATCCCTTGCAACGAAAGGGCAAGCCCATGGAAGTAGGCCGTTGACACTTGAAATGCGTAGAACAAGGGAAGCATTCAAGTACACAAAAATCTTAAAATAGTAAATCAGCTGCTATAAATACCCGTGTGCGTATAATAATAACCCATTTGTGCTATTTTTATGTTTAAATATCAATGTTTGATTGTGATAATGATATTCAAGGTACACGTATTTTTATCACTCCATTTTGAGCGACAAACCAAAACACATGGCAAAGTGTGATGTTAAACCAAGCATACAAAGTGCTGGAGAATTCACACAAAGTACCTCGTTTGTTATGCAAAATTCACTATTAAGTACACTTTATTTGCATTTAATCAAGAAATATTTACATATGATCTACAACTACAAAATTATTTACTACATAATGAAAAAAGTGCATGAAGTTGGAAATAAATTGTTTTGTCTTTATACAGAAAATATCAACAGCTTATCAAAGGAAGAAAAGTTACAAATACAATCAAATAGTACCCGGGTGTACCTCAAAGCTTGAGTGTCCTCCTCTGGCCAGAGAGAATCCCCAGTGTCATCCTTATGGATAATGATTAGGGGTAACGCTTTTAATACTTTAAGGCCACTTCTTTCACGCACTGAAGCTCTTTTGGTAACGAATTCCTTGTTGGGAAATTGTGCAGAATGTGTTCCTATTTGGCTCTTATCTGCAGCGCCCTCTATAGAACATGAAGAATTCTAGTATACATGTACTTTTAAACAGCCTGAATCATAAAGATTTTTCCATGTTCTTCGCACAACAAATTTCACTCTTCAAACAAGAAACCTCGCACCCCACAAAAATTGTTGAGCCTCTGTTATGATATTAACATAATATTTATGAGATAGACTCCTTAACATGACAGTGTTGGAACTACCAATTCCAATTTCATGTGCCTTCCACAACAGAAAAATCCAAGTTGCACAGTGACTAAATTTGGAAAACGAGGCAGTAGCCCTTTTCACCTCTTCCACAAAAGCAATAAAAAATAACTTGACTTATACAGAATCAAAGAAACAAAACAGGTTTGCTATAAGCCCATTAGTGTCTTTGCTTCATTTCCTTGCTGGATAAGTGTTTCGCTGGCGTACTTTTCTAACAATTCCATCTTTTTTCTTCTCAACAGAGCTTCCTCAACCTGTAACAGAATAGATGCAAGAAAATCCAAGACTGAAGACATGATATCATTTCAAAGTGAAGTATGTCCTTTCTGGTTTAAGCTGGGAGAATAATTTTTAGGGCAGAAAGGTAAATGACCTTGGCCTTTGTCTTCAATATCATTGGACACTAGGACAAAATGGTAAGCATATGGAATCTGTCTGCATCTAAGGAAAAGTTGCTTATTAATTCAACTTTTGCACAGCATAATGTGCATTTCACATCAAAATGTTCATGTATCATATGAAGACTTAAACATAGAAAATGGTGAGTAAACAGTTTTCATTTCTTTTGGGCCTGCCCCATTTCTAAATAGTCTAGTGATCGGGCAGAACCCTACAACAGTCCCCATTGATGTGCTCCGTGCAATTAATGAAGTCTCTTTAGAAAGGAGCGTTTTCATCTTCAGATTTTCATTTCATAACACTGCATCATACACTGGCTCAAAATTCATCTCACAAACTGGAAGTTTATGAATGCCTTGAATTCTATGAATGTGCACCTTTTGACACATTTGATGCGAGTACCGAGTAAGATATTACTCACCTCTTTCTGTGTGGGTACTGGGACATGAGCGACGTATCGTGGCTGACCTTCTTCTGTCTCCATCTCAGTTGACTCTTCCTCATCTTCAGACTGCATTTAGAAAGAAGAAAACAACAGGTGAGCAATGTAGAGGAAGGAATGATTCTACAGAATTTCCAACGTCAGGACTTCATTACAGGAGCCTCTCAGTCCATTTAAGGTTAGGATCGTGACTTTCAGATGCAAAGATTCAATTGTTGAATGTCATTCTTCAGGTTGAAGTCTTGTATACTCCCCACAATCTCACTGACCTCAGGGTCATGTGTGATGGCATATATATCCTCCTCGACCTCTTGCTCCTTGGTGACCTCGTCGCTTAGCAACCCTGCTTCCTTCTTAGACTTCCATTCGCTCACAGCTGCTGCAATGACTAGAACAGAGACAAAAGAGGTAAGGGAAATAAACTACAGGAGGTGAAAATGCATCAAGGATACAAGTGTATCAGGTGTGAGTATTTTCATCCATGTTTGAATAAAACATTCTGTAATCACAAGGATTGTTCTGGGTAGATTGGGTAATTTGTTCTTGACTAATCTTTGATATCAAAAGGCAGAAATTCATTTCAAACTCTAAGAAGATTTCAGTGTTCTAGTTGAGTCTATTACCAGTCCCTGCAAGTCCATCCCAATTCCATCACTGGTCATCCTGTCTTTATAAGCCAAATCACGAGCTGTCAAAATGAGTTTTGACAAAAGTATTCCTTCGTCACTCTTCACCCATTATTTACAACTGGTCTTGTGAACAGAACTGGACTTGGGAAGGGACTTTAAAAGGATTTATAAGGGAAGGGCCATTGACTCACTCTGTTTTTCATGTTCCACTTCCAGAGGTACCAAGACTCCATCATCCTCATCCCTGTAACCATAGTAATCTGCATCAATGAACTTCATCAGTTCTGCCCGAGTCTTCTTTGGCGGTGGAGGAGCTGTGAGAAGACAGTCAATGGAGCATCAAGATTAAAAACTTAATAGAAGATGGGGAGAAGGCATTGTGGAGAGCAACTAGCCTGGGATAGAGAGGTGAAGGACTGTGGAAGAAGTATTCCTCCTATAGACATTTCTCCTGTGATGTCACAATTGTGCTGGACTGCGATGTGTTGTGATGGTAATGCCAGCATAGTGCTGTGATGGTAATCTACTTATTCAAGATAAACTGCATTTGCATGTGCGCTTGAAGTTGTACATGGTTGAAGCTGCCCCTAGGAACATATGTGATCACCGTGGCCAAGGCGGTCCACATGTAGTAGCACAATCCAGTCACATGGATGAAAAAGGTCTACAAGAGAGAAAAACAG